GCTATTGGGCGGGACATAAGAATAAAAAGAAAGACAGGGAGTATCTCGTCTTTGAGTTTTCTCTTTTAAATAAGAAACTTGATACTACTACTTTATTGAAATAAATCTAAAAAATTGACTCTTTATTTTGTATACACAGTAATAAACCAAGTGAAACATCGTTGAAAATAAAAACTTTTGTTCTACCATTTAAAATTAGGATAATATCGTACAATGTCATATTATGTTTTTCTTCTCTTTTATGTACGAGACAAAAAACAAAAAAAAAATCTTTTGAAAAACATCCTCATAGACATGTATTGACTATAGAAATAATAACAATATTAAAGATCATTTGCAAATTAATTGTTTGTTTTGAATATGAATGAGTATGTGTGTTATACCTTTAAGAAGATTCATATCATATGACTAACAAATTAATCAATTATGCATCTCTAATAACAATAACAGCGAGTATAATCATCTAATTTTCGTCATATATATATCATAGACCAATTTGTTTTTTTTTTCGAAGGGAAGGATGAAATTATATTGAGAAAACTTATTCTGTAAAGAACACATGTTTTGTTTTTTTTGTTCATTTTCTTGCATCATGAAAAAAGGGGGGAAGATAAAAAGCTGAACATATTTCTTTCTTCTTTTTTTTTTCTTTTCTTCTTTTGACGTTCAACACAAGAGCTTTCTTTCATCATCGAGGGAAAAACACTACAAATGTCTCACCCATTATTCTTTTATTGTTAGACTCTATATACATATCAACATATTTCTGAGAGTTTTTTTTTCTTCTTTTCTCTCTCTCTCTGTTCTCACTTTCGTTTTTGTGGAGATATGATTGTCTATGCATAAAATAAAAAAAAGTAATAATACTTCTCAACAGATCATTATCATTAGACACGATCTACCAAAAAGGTATACGTGTTTGTTTGTCAAAAAGTACGTTCTCGTTTTTATTGTTGTTCACTTATATACTCTTGATTCTATTCTTATGACCAGCTGTTTGAAAAATTTTGTTTGAGTTTAGTCGTATTCTTACCATTTGTAGAAGCAGGCGTTTAAATGGAAAAATTCATGCCATATTATATATATTTTTGAAGCATTTACACACGGAGTCAAACGAAACTTCTCAAAATATATGTAGGATGAGACAGTTGATTACAATTTGTTTTTTCTTCTCTCCCCCCCTCAAAAAAAACAAATCCATACCAGCGAAGTTGAGATGCAATAAATTCTTTGAGAAATGGTTATCTATAGAAAATGATGTTGTAGTAAAATCGGTTTTAAAATTATATAACATTCTATTTTTCTATAGATTTGATTATTGATATGTCATATTTTATTATACATAGCATAACTTCATTTAAGTTGAACATGTCCTTCATTTTTTTTAATCGTACATCCCTACAGCTTTCACTCATTATCTCTATATCTAACATATCTAACACCATTATCGACATATTGATCCAAGATAATCTTGTTCGTTTGATGTTTTACTTTCTTTCTTTCTCGTTCGTCAACGTATCAAGTTGTATAGACACATAAAAAGTTCAAAAACATATGTGTACAATGTAAAGTGTAGTGTACATAGACTATTTGTCTTGATGATCTCTTTCTCTTTTTCTTTTTTATTTTTAACAAATTTTCATATATAAAATAGATTCCTAACTATATTATATCAGTAAGCTTTTAAGTGAAGATAAAGTGCTATATGTCACACATACAAATTGACAGTTTAAAAACAACACTGTCCTCGAAAAATAAATTTATTGTAACGTATATGCTTCGATGTTTATTAATTGTTCATTTTAACTACAATAGTAACAACACTTTCTCTCTCATTTACGCATGCCTGGCAAAACACAAATAATGGGCACAGAATTTAAATGAGTGAAAAAAAAACCTATGAATCTAGAGGAATAATTGAGCATAGTGAATTACTTATGATGGATATTGTCGGACAGATTCATGAATATTGATAATGTAGCAAGAATAGAGAGTGAACGCGATTGTCAAAAAATAGGGTATATTCACTACAAAATAATTAGATTTAAGTTTGAAGAGTCTATGGCTGAATGCAATTTGTTTGAGAGTAAATGATCGTTATTATAATTTCTATACCAATGTTCATCATGATAGTACATCACGAATAAGGTTAGCAAATTTTAATTCTCATTTTGAACACAATTTATTTTCTCTTCACTAGAATAAAAAATGTTTATCTGGATTTATGGATACGCGTTTGTGCATGAGATGAATTTTTGTAGAATATAGAAGTTAATGATAGAGAGAGAGAGAGAGCAACCCCTCAGAGAATACTCTCTTCTCAAATAGTTCTGTTTTTGACGTTTCTAACAATCGGTTTTGAGAATGGAAAATTGACTAAAATATTTTTCTTTATTCAAAAATAGTAAAAATTGAATATTTGTTTGAACTATTTACGTAGAAATATAGTTTTAATACTAGAAAACAGTTTTAAATTTGTCCACCATAAAAATGATATAATAGAGATGTGACAGAGTTGAATTTTAATAACTCATTCAACTGGAAAAATAAGAAATGTTAATAATTTAAAAGTGGGCAATAAAAAAAGCTCGCTTTCTCAATCTCTGGTTAAAATCAAACAATTGTATCTATGTATGTATTTGTGTTGTATGCATGTAAATTTAACAGATGTCCATGACGACTGGTCAATATATCAACATTCTTACAATAACATATTAAACATCATCGTATACATTTATATTTATTATAAACGTCTAAATATTATTGTATAATATATATGCCTATATATTTATGATCACTGTCTATACATATTATATTATTTGGGAATACACACACATCTTTATGAGTTGACAAATGTGATATATGAGAGGCAACTTTCTCTGTTAACATACTGGACCATGGAGATATCTCATCATCATATCTTTTTTTCTTAAGAATATGAAATATTAAGTTGTGATATCTTCCTTCATTCACCTGGAAAATTATTACATAGCTAAATTTTGTCATAAATGTGGATAGACAGTTTTATACATTAGCGAGAAAAAAGAAAAGAAAAAAGAATATTAATAAAACCATCACTTTATCAACCATATGGTACTAACATACGTCGTATTATAAGAATACTTTTCTCTCTCTTTCTCGCTCTCTCTCTCTCTCTCATTCACACATATACTACTAGTAAGATGGTATTCAGCTCTTAAACTTTCCTTTACAAATTCATTTATATGGGCAGCGGTCAGTCATCATTCTCTTTTGTTGTCTGCCCTAGTCATGTAATAGATTATTTCCATGTACATAACAAATGAATAGAAGAAGCAAAAAAACCTATTATTATCATCATCATTCGATCATTATTCATTTCTTTTGGGAAATGAAAACAGACTACGAATTATCATCTTTCGATGTCAATGATAAGAAGTTTGCTATTCTTGGATTAATTGAATTGAGTTATAAGTAAATTTGTATTGAATAATAATGATAATAATATCATGTGATAATACTTAATCTCACGTATAGTAGTCAGACAAAGTGAAAAATAGCACTAAAAATTGTGTTTATATTTAAAAATAGAGTTTCAAAAATGATGAAAAACAAAAAAAATCTTAAGTTAACTTATAAAAATTAAATTTATTATTTTGAGAAATAAGAAGAATAAATTTATTGAAATTGAATATTTTTCTCTAGAAATTATTTTTCAAGATTTTTGATAAATTTCTTATTAATATTAACATATGAAAAATCTATTTTTATTCGACAGATGTCTCATATTCAGACACTTTAGTAGCTTTATTGACTATGATTTATTATAAAATGTACATTCATTTTAACACGTCTCGTTGCATGTTGTACTATTGTAGATATTGAATAACAATAGACGACCATAACTAATAGATTAATACAATTATGATTATTGTTTTAAAGATTCTCTTTTCGATCTTTTATGATGATGGTATTTAAATACCGTGATATCATAGAACATAGAAACCTAGTTTTATGTTCGAGCACATCATGAGAAAATGACTTGTTTTCTTAACATAATTTACAATTTGATTACTGTCAGTTAAAAAACAGTATGTGTGTGTGTGTGTGTGTGTGTGTGTTAAGAAGATGTTCTCAATCTAATGGCACTTGTGTTGTAGTTACGCGTCGAATCGAATCATAAAAATATGATTGAAGGTTATGAAAATTGCTTGAAACAACCTTATTTTTTTTCGACTTATTTTAATGAGCTCCATATATATACACAGTCTAATAATTGATTAACTATTCCATCTTTTTTTCTATGACTTGAGGTTATTGAACAAACGAATAGAGTATAATTTGTTAATAATATTGAACTTTTTCTTCAAATGAAAATTCCATGGTCGCATAAAATATGTTTGTTTGTTCGCCTCATCATTTTTCTAGATTAGACCCTGAAGGCAATTTGTTCTAATACAAACATATATTTTTTTTCTCTCTATGCTTGTCTTTTATTATGTGTATATATATATATACTATATATATATATAGAATAGAATTTGCAAGGCGGAAGTTCTTTGTCTCTCTCTCTCTCTCTCTCTATTTATATAAAATGAGTATTTAAAACTTATGTGATTGATGGAAAAAGAATTCCGGATATGTTTATAGGATCGATTTCTAATAGTCATAACGGAAGGACATTTTTTTGTTCGAGTATACTTGAAATAAATGAATACCTATTTCTTTTTCATTTTAAAAGCATTTTTCTTTCTATACACCGGTATGTGTTATGGTTGAATTTTTGAACAATCTAATTTCCTTTTTTTTTTTTGTCTTTTTCTTCTTCTGTAGATCTGCGATCATGTCTCTCACTATGAATATTTATCATTTCTTATACGACAAACAACGATTATTAAAAAACGATTGATAGGTGTGCGTGTATTTACTCGATACTTGTTTATTATTATTATTATTAAGAAAACAGATATATTCCATGTCAATGAAGAACAATGCAAGAATTTTAATTTTATAATGACAAAATGATGGCAATACATATATTATTTATAACCACCGTCATTTATTTAATATGGATCTTTGACAGTATGTTAAAAAAAAAGAAAATAAGAGTTTTCTATCACTTTTTTGTTGTTGAGACTAGGATCATTTACAGAATATGGAGTTATTAAACTCGATTTTCATGTAAAAATTAGTCAGAAATTGTTTGATAATAATCTTAAATCTTATTGATACTTTATTATTTTAGTTTTTTGTTTTGCTGAACAATCTCGTTTAATTCAACGATCAGCACCATTAATTATTGAAGGTCCACAAGATATTGCAGCCGAATTAGATAAACCAATTCAGTTACATTGTCGAGCGGAAAGTTTTAATCAATCATTGGATGATCTACATATCGACTGGTATAAAGATGGTAAACGTGTTACAACTGATCCAAATGCTCGAATAATAACTGAATTTATGGCATTACATATTATAAATACTATTGAACAAGATCAAGGCTCATATTATTGTATAGCAAAAAATTCATACGGAAAAACACAAAGTAGAACAGCATTAATACAATTTACAAGTAATTTCATTTAAACTGACTATTTCATATAGAAAAAAAAAAAGGCAAACTATTTTCTTATTTTATATAGAATTGGATCGTGATTTTGAAATAGAACCACAGTCAATTGCTGTTGAATTATATGAAAATATCCGTTTGAAATGTCAACCACCAAAAGGAACACCAATACCAACAATTTATTGGCAAAAAGATCATAAAAATATAAGTTTAAATGATAATATACGTCTTGAACAAAATGATTTAATTATTGATTCAATGAAACATTCAAATTTTGGTTCATATCGTTGTTTAGCAACAAATCAAGCTGGTAAACGTGAATCTAAACTAGCTATTGTTCAACAATTTAAAAAACCTGAAATAAAAATAAAACCAGGAAATAAAATTGATGTTAGACGTGGTACAAATATTGAAATTCAATGTCAAATATCGGATAATACTGATTCATCATTAATTGTCGTTTGGAAACGAGTTGATAATAAAGAATTTCGTAATGGTATTATTGTTAAAGGAAATATATTAGAAATACAATCGGCACAGTATGCTGATACGGGTGTTTATTATTGTGAATTAAATATACAAGGACGTCTATTAAAAGAAACAATGATATTTGGTGTCTATGAAAAAGGTCCAAATAATGATTATCATAGTGAAGTAAATGTAACAGCATTTATTGGAACAAATTCAACATTACGATGTCATTTACCAAAACAAAAACGAGATACAGTTATTTTTTGGGAAAAAGTGTACAAATCAAATATGCAGGTAATAATAATAAAAATTAATATTATTGTTTTCAACTGTTTCATCGTTCTCTTCTCATATCAATTAATTTCTAATAGAAAAAGATGTCAAAAATGTTGATGAAAATGAGTCATGTGAATAAAAAGACCAGTTGTACGTCTAATCAATAATTATTAGGTCTTCGTTTGACAGGGATAATCGATTTTCATTTATTCTTGTGCTAGTGTATATGTCAAATTTCTATTTCTTGTTCATGAACAAGAATAGAACATATTAGATATTAAATATATAAAATAACATTGACATTTTATTTGTTTAGAATATTGGTTTATATAAAGGTCAAGAAAATGGTCGATTTCAAGTAAATTATAATGATGAATTATTAATTCGTAAAATTGATGAAACAGATGATGGATTATTTTTTTGTCAAATGTATTCGTCTTCAGATAAAAAAATTTTATTAGGAAAAACAACTGTTTATGTTAAAGTTTATTCATTAGAACCGCCACCAATTATTCGTATTGTACCTAATAATCAAACGGTACCAGTTGGCGTTGAAATTATTATCTCTTGTCAACAACAAGATAGACAATTATTATCATCTAAAATAAAATATTTACCACTCAACGATAAATCTGATAATTACCATTCAATAAAATGGTATTTTAAACAGACACGTTCAAAAAGTAATCGTTATCATACTCAATCTTTATCAAATCAAGAAATGTTAATTAAATTTGATAATAAAAAACATAAAATTGAATCAAATGGTGATCTTATATTGCGTCATGTTGACAAGTAAGTGAAATGAAAATAGATATTTCTTGATATATTTCATTCAACGTCTTAATTGAGTATCACGTCATTGTAAGTCGATAAATATGATAATTAAAATTCCTAAGAATAATTGCATTTTGTTGTCGAGAATTAATTTTTTGAATGTTCAAATGGTAGTAAGGATATATCTGAAATTTATGAGAGGTAGCGCTGAGCTAAAGTACATATATTTCACTTATACAAAAACTTTCGCTGCGAGAAAAACGTTAATGTAATAATTTCTAGCAGGAAAAAATGTTGGTTTTCTGTAAAAGCAAAAACAGAGAAAAGAAGCTAACAGAGGACAGTCAACTCTACAAACTCCGTTTGTAACCTTCCTGTAATAAGAATTGCTGACTGAACTTCAATTTCTACTCACGACTTGGTCAGCTAGCTCTGCTACCAGAATGAAATTCCGTTATGTTTTTTTCTGCATATTTTTTGTACGAAAGATCGCGTAGAGTATGAGAACAGTTTAGACATGTACCCGTTAAAAACTAATGTTAGGGCTTCCACAATTGTTATAAGTCACCTATTCAGAGTCTCGAAAGCTCATTTTGTAGAGAAATGTTTGAACTACAATCCCGTATACGTAGAAAAGTTTCAACGTTATCTGTGATAGAAATATGAGCATTCTAAAATGCACTAAGTACAGAAAAAAAGCCTGTTCGAACAGTTCTTTTTCTAACTTTCGTGCATTTTAGAATGCTCACATTTTTGCTAGAATAACTTCAAATTGTTTTCACAGTTGAGTTTTCAAGAGCAAACATTTCTCTACAAAAGGAGAGGTTCCGTGACTCTGAATAATTTTTCGTAGGCTACTTATTGCAATTTTCGTGGAAGCCCTAACGTCAGTTTTTAACTGGTGCATGCCTAGTACAACTCAAAATCTTTAGCACATTTTGCTCTTTAATCTCAGACGTCGAAGAGCTCTCACTGTTCGAAAACTATTAAGAAAACAAAATACGAAAAAAAGTGTAACAGAATTTCATCACGACAGTTTCGTGTCACGAAGAAAAGTAACGTCAGATTTCTTCCTGCTTATGCTTACGTAAGGTATGCACCGGCATCGGTATACTGAATACCGAAAATACCGACTTTTTTGGATTTTTTCATTTGGAAATGAGATAGTTTAGCGTCACGTCACGGATATTCAGAAAGAATCGGAGACACGAAACAAGAGCTTTCTCAAGCCAAAGTTTTCCTTTATTTTCTATCTGCACACGTTCAGAATACACAGCTGAGTGCTTTTGTGTTCTGGCTGTCCATGACTCTAAACTACCTCATTTCAAATAAAAAAATCCAAAAAAGTCGGTATTTTCGGTATTTTTTGTATCGGTGTTTCGGTATGGCTAGCGATACTGGTGCCCACTCCGAACTGTTTCACTCGCCTTTTACAGAAAGTATTGGACTAGAATGCACAATTCATTTAATCTCCAACCAGAAGCTGTTAGGTCTGTAAGCAAACGAATTTTCTTTTCTGTAAAATTGTTGACAAAATTTTGACAGCTTTGTACAGCTGCAGTTCCTCAATAGAACGTTTATATTTGCTTAGTATTGTAAATTTGTGCAGAACATACTATGGTAGGATGTGTGATATATTCATTTTGCTCTATTGGTTCCAGAGGACAAGAAAAAAGGATGAGTTTTCTTCGATGGATGGAAAATAGTGGCAGAGAACTGTCCGATAGCAGAGGTAACGGGCCCAGTCACTCATACATTGAGTTCATAATTTCTCGCACTACTGTAATCAGCCTGATCTTTGTTTCTCATAAAAATTTATCTCTTCATTATGGCTATATAAACTCATGAGTTAAACTTCTTCATCTTAATGTTTTTTTTAGAAATGATACAGGTATTTACAGATGTTTGGTATCAAACAATCAAGGAGAAACAAGTTGGAGTGCAACGTTAAACATTGAAGATCCACGATCGAACGCTGTCTTTCAACGAGTAGAAACTAAAGATTTACCCAGTGCACCATCGCAACCTGTTGCTGGTAATTAAATTTTAGAATATATTATCATTACTATAATTATTTATTATTTTTATTTCTAGTTGCATTTGGTTCAGATTACATCGAATTAGCTTGGAGTGATTCATTAATGCAAACAACAGAAGGATATCTAATTGAATATTTTCAGTACGTATACTATACACATATATATATACCAGTATTGTCCATCCAAAAAAAGAATGATATATGACTGTTTTTGGATAACTTTTGATAGAAAAGAGCTAGAGAGCTCTGCTTTTCGCCATTCGAAAGAGGAGACTTGGGGATATAGTTCAATAACCACAAGTTTTTCAGAAGAGTTTATTTTCATGAGCTGAAAGCTCATTATGTATATAGTATAGTTCAGAGTATAGTTTTCAGACTGTTTTCACCTAATCTTAAAAAATTCACTATTCATCCAAGAAACATAAACAGAACGAGTTTAAAACTTCAGAATGTAGAGTGTTTAAGCTGTGCTATATCCTGTTTGTAGGGGATCCCGAGAGAAATTTGACAAAATCTTGAGGTTTTTTGAAAGGATTTCTAGAGAAATCTATTAAGAAAAATATGCATTTTTGATTTTTTCGATCTTATAGTCACGTTTATCGGGCAACATTAATCATATCCTGAGGTTTTGAACTTGTTCTGATGTTTTTTGGGCGAATAGTGAATTTTTTAAGATTAGGTGAAAACAGTCTGAAAACCTCAATTTTCGTAAAACTTGATTTTCGGTAGATTTTTAAAATTTTTCTAAAAGCAAATATTGCCACGAGAATCAGCATGCTCGACTTTCCATTGTTCATCCGTCTTCAAGGCTACCAATAGTCACATGGTGCCGGTCCTGGGACTCGTAGGAAATCCAATACAGCGCTCGAACTGTGGGAAATCAAGGCCTCGCTTGACTCCCATTTTGGAGAGGACATCTCGCGCTATCAGCTCATGAAAATAAATCAATACAATCCAATTGGAGGATTTTTACACACGGTCTGGTCTTCCAAAGAACTCCTCGAAAATCTGTTTCAGAAAAACTCTTCTGAAAAACTTGTGGTTATTGAACTATATCCCCAAGTCTCCTCTTTCGAATGGCGAAAACCAGAGCTCTCTAGCTCTTTTCTATCAAAAGTTATCCAAAAAATAGTCATACATCGTTCTTTTTTTGGATGGACAATAGTTCTATGTACGTCATGTAAAGATTCTCTCTCTCTATTTAGATTGACATCAAAACCACTCAATTGGATTCGAATTGGTCCGATTCAACCGATAACAAAATATATTATATCTAATTTAAAATCAGGTTCATCCTATCAGTTTATTGTTCGTGCATTAAATCGTTACGGATTTGGACAACCAAGTCCATTATCAGAAGTAATTGATACTCGTCAAACAACAAAATTTATTTCAAATGATCATGATAAAGTAAAAAAAGTGCTAAATTCTGATCAAGAATTAATTCGTTTATTTGAACCGATTAATGTACAGGAAACAAGTGTTAATTTAAAATGGAATGTATTAAGAAATTCTGATTTAATTGAAAAATATTATGTTTATATAGTAGAAGATGGTAATAATCAACGAATTGAAACAACACCAGAAAAAGGAAATGGACTATATGAATATATTGTACGAAATTTAAAGATGAATACATTGTATCAAATAAAAATAATTCCATATAAATATGATATACAAGGAAAGGAAAGTAATACAATTTATATTAAAACACCTGAAGGTCCTCCAAGTGCACCACCAGACGATGTTATTGTCGAATTAACTGGTCTAAATAGTTTATCGATTAAATGGAATCCACCTTCATTAAATCATCAAAATGGACAAATAATTGCCTATAAAGTCAATTGTCTTGGAAATAATGAAACAACATCGATTCGATTACATAATATTAGTTCAGAAGCAAAAGGATTACATATTAAAAGTTTATTTGAAAATTTACAATATTGTATTAGTGTGGCAGCTAAAACAAAAGCCGGTGATGGACCATATACAGAACCGAAATGTGTTATTATGAGTAAGTTATGAGGATAATAGAATATGTCAAAGATGATTAATTCCATTTTATATTTTTTCAATAGATTCTGATTTTCTCAAACGAAATCGTAATGGTTTAGGGGGAAAATTACGTATGGCTATTGATCAACCATGGTAAAATAATATTTGAAATTAATCAATCCATTATTTCTTTATTATTGCATTTCTTTCTTATTTTTTAAAGGTTTATACCCGTTATCATTCTTAGTTCATTGTTATTCGTTTGTCTAATACTCTCAACTATTTGGTTATGTTTTAAACGTTATCAAACAAGGAAAACATATGGATCGGATCAATTCGTTGAATTACCCATACATAAAACAAGCAATGGTACAAGGTATAATTTAACTTTTAATAGAATATCACAAATTATTTATTCTATTTTCTCTTCTTATCTTTAGATATAATCTTATTAAAGATCCATTATGGACAGATTCATTACGAAGTACAAGTAATTTAGGTAGTGGTCCAAGTAATTTTCTAATGACAAAATGTTGTACAGCGGGTAGTTCGGCAAGTGATCAAGAACAACAACAGCCAATGTTTATACATAAAAATCCAATAAATGCTCTATTACAAGAATGTAATAATAAAAATTTGACATTATCGGATCATAGTTGTGGCAGTAATTCGTTACATCATTCAATAAAAACAAATCAAAATCATAATAATGATACAACAATAACAACTGTCTCACCTGATAGTTCACCACAATATACAGAAATAAATAATTCAAATAATATTCAACAAACATTAAATCCGTATGCCACCACCGGTCTATTTTCTCCCTGTAATGGAATAATGAACGGAAATGAGTTACCAACCTATGTAAGTGTAATAAAAATGTTATCTCATTAGAGTTTAAGTGAGATAAAAGAGAAATTTTATACAGAATCATGACGACGACTTATTTTTAGAATGAATCTTTACGAACAACTAATTATCTACAAAATTCCTTACCATCTTCTCCTTTCAATTTTACAACTTCTCAAAATTCTTCTCGTCATCATAATGGTTTAATATTCCCTCATTCAATTGATATCTCTCAACAACAAAAACAAAAGGCATCATCTTCACCCTATTATTCTCAAACATCTTCGTATTCAACTCATCAACCAGTTATTATTCCATCTGTTGAATATCATCCACCTTGGTATCCGATGGGAGAAGCCAATGTAAATGTTCAACAATTATTATCGTCTCATCGACAAAACATTCAGCCATCATCTCAACATACGACACCTTATCATCAACAACAACAACAACAACAACAACAACAACAACATCAGAATGAAAATCAACAACAATCTCCACATATCTATCGTACAACATGTATCCATTGTTCTCATCCTCATACGCCATCGTCTATTCGTACATCCGCTCGTTCACCGAGTTCACATTCACGATCGTCATCAAATGGTAAACATTTTCGTCATAATAATCGTAATAAAAACAATGGCAACAATAATACGAATAATAATAATGTGAATAGTCGATCAATCGATACAGATGTTCGATGGAATAATGATCACACATGTTCAATTAGTGATTCATTAAATAGTAATCACGATTTAACAAAATCACGTTCTAATAGTAAAGGTCGAATAACAAATATGAACAGTAAAAGTGAATCAATAAAAATAACAAATGGTAGAGAAAAGTAAATATGACTAGAAATGATACATTGAAATGATAGTTCGAAAAATAACTGTTTATTTTAGAATAAAAAATAATCATAGTAAACGAAATTTAAAATATCAATTACCAAATGAACCAATGTTAAACTCACATAGAGGAGGTAATAATTATTTTTAATAGATTTTAAATGTAATATTTTCACAGAAAAATTGAAATAGTTTGAACGAAAATAATGAGACAATTTATGCTGATCGATATAAAAAAGTAGAATCATTCAAATCAAAAGAAAGCAAGAAACCTATACACAATTTTAGTTAGAACTCTAGTCTACAATGGATAATTCGTGTTTGCAGTACTAGAGTAGTATGTTGACTTCAACAATGTTTTGTTTTGTCTAGTTTCAAACAACTCGTATCACGATCAACGAGTACAATTAAGAGGTTCTTTTTTTTAGAAAAAAACACAATTTAAATTCATAAAAATTGTAAATTATTACTGATTTTTGATCTATTTAGAGACAATGATAACGTCATGGACGAGTGTAACGGATGGAAGTAATCCTGAAAGTTCATCGAGTAATTCGGATAATAATGACGTTAATCATGATCACAGCAGAACAAGTAGTGAAGGTTCAATATTTACAGATTCAGATTTGAAGAAAATTACGTTATCGTTTAATCAAAATAATCAAACGCAACAACCAAATAATAAAGGTATGTTTTTCACGGAAAAAAATAAAAATACTATGAAAAATTTATTACATAACATATTTTCTTTCTATAAATGTTAAAAGTTAAAAATTAAATCTTGTTATATAATAATAACTTTATTTCTTTCATCATTCAGATTCAAATTCAACATTTGAAGAAAATATTTGTCAACAACGACCACTTTCTGCTAATCTGTTATTGGAAGAAATTAATATTCTTAAGGAGACAACATCCATATGATTAATTATTTTTTATTGATTTTATAGACGCCTGTTATCTAATATAGAACGAATAAAACAAAAGTTGTTATAATTATAATTTGAGAGAGAACGTCGACTGCATTTACTTCTCCAAGCTCATTATTCAGGGTGCTACATGAATAATATGTTAATCAAAACATGTTAGAGGATAATAGATTCAAGATCGTCTTTTCAATTCTAGTCATATATTACATTTTTTTCTTTGGATGTATTATTAAACAATTAAAGACAACGTACATGTATTAGATTAGACATTTCGTCAAATGGAATCAAATGTTTTTTCGTTTCTTTTATATATATTTTTTTTTCTGTTCTAACTTGTAGTAGATAAGTGAACTTCGTACCATTGTATATTATTGTATACATTGAAACATCATCTTTTTATCTTTTGCTATTATTTTTCTTGCGGCGATCAGATGTTTCTATTTCAGTGTCATTTGTGTCCTGTTTTAGTAAAATTTTTTACGCTTCTGTTTTGTCTTTGATATTATTAATAATTTTTGTAATAAAAGGCCAAAATTCTAAATTGACGAGTTAAAGGAGTAATCACTATGGTTACGATAACGTAAATATTTGCATGGACAGTTAACGAAGAAGAAAACACGCGCAGAATTTTGTTTTGGGAGGTTAAATTTTTATGCTTTAGAGTCTAATGCGTTTATATTCAAACCCGTTTAAGATATGAAAACTATTTACAACGGTAGTTACTTGTTTTTGTTCAAATTGTTGAAAGAAGTTTATTATTAGAACCATTACGTCTCCTTCGATAATGAAATACTGAGTTGACTGAAAAATCGAAAATATCGGAAACGTACTTTGGATACGATAAATATATTACAAAGTTCTAAGCAAAGAAAAAATGCCATACTCATCTGTACAACGTTTGATTTTGAAGAGTACACTTTTCTCTACATCCCGATGTAGTTGTCAAAAAACAAAATGACATTCGACTTTTTTACCTTTTTGCCTATGAAGCAGTTTTCTAAAGGAAACATTTCAATGAACATGGGCCAGAACCATGAATTAAAAGTTTAAATTTGATTGAGATGTTTAAATTTTTACAAATAATCATAATAATAGTCTAGTTTAAATCAACAATAAACTATTACATAATAGTGTAATAAATATTACATTACTTTTCCACATCGTACATTGACGTAGGAATCTGATTCGGCATGAAAAATTCGTAAGCATGAAACAAAAACAAACGATTGTATATTACAGCCCATGAAGTACTCCATATGTGTATCATTGCGGGCATAAAACTCGTTCTATCTGTGGGAGAGAAAAGTGTCCAACAAAATCATGTTGGCGTTCAAGATCGCAGATTCAAAATCCGGTATGATCTTAGAAATTTTACTATAAACAATCCACAGCCAAACCTCTCTGAAACTATAACTAAAAGTTCTAACTTTTATTTTATCTTAATAGGAGCAGCTCCAAAACTGATTTTCGCGCTTTGTACGACCTCTTCCAGAAAAAAGCAAAACTACGCGAAAAGCTTGCGATCCCATCCTTTTCTAGTAGATACTCTGAAGTATTTCTGGTAAAAATTTGCGTCTAGATGATGTGTTTTTACCGAGATACAAGCGTTGAAAATGACCAATTTGATCTAAGGGCCAAAATTTTGATTATTAATGCTTTATCAGAAATCAGAATCATCTCGGCCAAATCTAACTTTTTGACCTGCAGTTTGCACGAATGTTCATCCGAATGTTGTCTTTAGCAAAGCTCTTTATAGGCAAAAAAGCTCTGGAATGACCGTCGTTGAACCGCTTAGGTCATGGGATAAAAACATGGCTACTAAGGAGAGACATCTACACTGCAGATATGTATATCAACTCAAATATGTCTCTATCTCAACAGCCACTTTTCACTGATTTCGCTGTTGTACAATTCCCTTTGAGGTACAGCTGACAGAATAGTACAAGGCAGTGTTTTCAACACTGCCTCTACGTCCATCTATCATTACGGTACTGATTCAAAGTAGACTTAGTTTAGTTTAATCTATATTTATTAGTCACCTGAAATACGCATGGCAGATAGTCAAGAATCGCAAAGTATTATACCTGGCTATCTGAAGAAACACAATATAGACAAATGGGAATAGCTTCCAAAGTAGACTTACTTACGTATTTTGCAGATGCTGTTGAGAAAATATAAATTTCCTCAAACAGTAAGTGTATGAGCAGCATCTCTATCTTCTATTTCATTACATATGACCTTACTCTTAGCCAAAACATATATATACATTCTTTATTCACGTCACAGGACAAAAATTACCACCATTATCCTGCAAGGTAAGATTCGGAAACTTGTACTGGAATTTAGTTTTATCAGTATTTTGTGCAGAATCGGCAAGATTTTTCGAGAAATCATACAAAAAACATACTCTCTTGCAAGATACTTGAAAAAAATTTGACATGAACTATGCATACAATTAGTTGCAAATACCGTATCATATTCCATTCTACAGTGCTCCATTCTTAATCTGTTTCAGTGCAGACAAATAACAATGCATAGGATATATTTAACAAATATATATTTGAAAGATAGTAGTAAGAAACGAAGTATAACAATAGTTAGAGAGAGAAACCGAGCACCTTTTTCACACACACACGCAGCAAATAAATGATATAAGTAGATTAATCACTGTTGCCAATAAAAGTATCCTATCGACTTAGAAATAGAAAAAAATATTACAAATTGCACAATGTATCAATAATAAACTAAAAATAAAAGAAACTGTACATGCATATGTATCCAGGAATGTGAAATGACAAGAAAACATCAACCATTTTAAAAGTTATCTCAAAAAATCTTGATTATAATTGGCAATTTTATCGTCTATTAAATATTTTATTTCAAACCAATTGATAATACTTGTTTCAGCATTCATAGCAGCTTCAAACTGTTCAAAACTAATTGCCCATTCATATTCAATTTTATTATTTGCATTATCAATATCGGTCGTTAAGTGTTGATCAGTAGAAAGCGTCAATGATGATGTATCACTAGAGAGAGTTGACGTTGAAATACGACGAAATGGTTTACATATTTCACCTAGAAAGATGTAAGAAAAAATGTTAAGATCGATACACAAACTACTGATCCATTCCAAAATAGAAAGTATTCGACTATTTTTCACTAACTTCAAAATAATAAGACGATAGAAATTTCGGATTTCCACTAACCATTTCTTATAGTAAAAATTTGAATCTGTTCATCTATAGTATTATTATTTAAATTTTCCTGATCGAAAATCCTTCTACTTTTTTTCTGCAACCGAGAAGACAATCACAGTGAAATATTCCGAGTCAAGCTATCGAACTAATCTAATCTAATTTTAGTATCCCATGAATTAGTCAAAAAAACGTCCAATTTGTCAATGAGAAGCAATAGTCGAATCTGCTATATTCGATCATCGTTCATCACGATTTCAAATAGATATCAATTAATCACATTTTGTGATGAAGGTAATCATCGATTTTCTTTTCCTATGTGTACAGCTATACAAACATCATTAATTATTTAATTAAAATTGAGAGTATATAAATGAATGTGAAATTGTGTCACAATTGTTTTTCATATGATTTTTGCATCAAAACACATGTAGTGCTCTATTTTCTGAATAAAACATTATTTAGAACACTGAAACAGCTCAAAATGTTTAGTAAAATTGTCTCTGTAATTTGAGACATTCCAGGGCGCTACATGCCTCATAATACAAAAATCATATGAAAAACAACCATAACGAAATTTTACTGTGATAGTAGAGTTAGCTACGGGTGATCGAAACACACTGAATCGAAAATTGTTTCTATGGGAAAAACTTATGTTATTTGATCATTAGACGTCATTTATATATGCTTATATTAAATATTTTTACAGATTAAGACATGTAAACTTGTATTATTTTCACTGTATGATTAACAACTGGATACAGCACTATCTCAGTTGACATTGTTGGTAGTCAATTCGGTGACTATCACCTCAAGATAATTCTATCTGTCGTTAAAAACAAGTCGGACAAGTTTCCGCCACATGAACTAATGTTTTTAAAAGAAATCATGTACACATTCTTACCGGTCTTTAATAAAATAGTACTTGTAGTAGTTAATGATTTAAATAATTCTTCTTCATTTATTGAACCAGTAATCAAACAGTACAATGATTTGCATAAATGAATAAATTCACTCTAAATAAATTGAATTAAAATGAAAATAAAAAATATTAATTTCTCTTTAGAAATATTTGCCTGATTGATTAATGGTAATTCACTCTGTTTTAAATGAATTGGCTCTTCATTTATCAAATCTTGTTGAGATGTATCATCAACTGATGTTTTTATTATTTGAATATTATTATTAACTTGATCCGATTCATCAATAAAATCTGGTATATCAATAGGACGATTCGTTGATGAAGATGTAGACGATGTTAATGATGTGGATGAAAATGATTTTCTAACTTCTGTTTGTGAGATTGGAAATAATGTTGGTAGAGCTTGAATGCGTCGATCATCATCTAAATAATAAATTATTTCTGTTCATATACTGTAGCAAAACAAAATAATAATAATAATAACAAAATCTTATCTTGTTACCATCAAAATGTGCTATAAATAATAGTTTTAATTTTAATTTAAAATCTCCATGATACAATATATTGCATAGTCGAATAAATTTTGGAAAATCAATTTCATGTGATAATGTATTTGGTGATGATGTATACATTGATGAATTAGAATATAAACAAATAGTCTAGAATAACATAATATCAAAAAAAAGAATAAAAAAAAAAAGAATTTAATTTTAATTTATAAAACTTACATGAAATAATAGTTCACAAAGATGTTCGGGTGCTTCGCCAACGTACCATGGTGATATATATTTGTATAAAACTGCAAATTCTGTCTTACCAACACGATAAGTTTCATAGGCAAGTTTTCGTGGATCAACAGCTTCTGTCAACGATATTCGAGAAGTATCCTAAAAATAGAGACAATTTTGTTTTTCATAGAAAAATAATCTAATAGCACAATAGATGTAAAAAATTTCGATGTACATACAATAGCTCAAAGAGAAGTATTCTTATCGATTAACAATATTCTCTAATTATTCTATTGAGTAGTATAAATATTTTACAGTGTACGATATCAATCAAAATTTACGTGATTCAAGAATATAGATATTAAGAAATAAGAACTTTTTTACCAATAGATACATTTTAAACTTGATTAATATTATTCTTACTTTGAATACATAGAATAAATCTTTAATTTCTGATTCTTTGAATTGACAATATTTAATTGTATTTTTTGCGGCACTTTGTGATAAACTTTCTCCCATACCTTGTACAACTTTTAAACGATGTTTTAAACGTAATTTATTCACATCATCTTCATTAATTCCATTATAATTCATATAAGATTGTTTTATTAAATCAACAATTGACGGATTTTCATCTGTTGATTCTTCTTTCTCATCGAGTTTACGTATTGGATTTGTTATTGTTTCTAAATAACTTGTTAATACCAAAATAGCGTCTCCATCATCATTACATTTTAATAATTTATCACGATTTTCATATAAAATAACTAAAGCTATTTGAAATAAAACCTAAACAAATGAATATTTCAAAAACAAAACAATAATTTCTTAAATAAACAAAAAACAAAAATTTATTGTTCATACCTTAATACCATCAAAAAAAAAGATATCCATAACATAAATTGCTGAATCAAATGGTAAAACACTTTTAAAATAGAAAAAAAAGAAATAAATGATGTAATATATTGTCGAAGTATGTACATACCAAACAAATAATGTTAGAAACCATGATAAACTAATGCAACTGGCTATACCCAATGTTTTCAATTTTTCATATAAATCTGGAAGATATTCTTTACAATAATCAGTAAATACACCTAAAAGAGTAAAGTATTAAAATAAAATAATAATTGAATTGATATGATTTTAAATACAGACCTTGATCTATAAGAGCACCAACAACTTTTGTATTATAATAATCGGGTAATAAACGTTCACATATTGATGCAAGTGTCCAAAATGCATCTTCTTCATTCATATATAATAATAATACACCGCCAATTATATTCATTGCTTGACAATAACCTAATGAAAAAGATATAAGTCTAGATTATAAAAAACATAAATAAACTCGTCTCTACCTACCAACATCGGGATTATAACAAGCATATGATCTTAACAGATGTCTCAATGCATTTATACCATTTTCATTTTGAAATGCTTTATGATCAGGAAGAGCTCTAAAATATATAAAACATTTTAACTGTCACTATTCAATTCAAAAAATTTATTCGCCAACACTTTCATTGTCTTTGTATCCAATAGAATAGTTTTATGTAATAAACCATTACACAAAACAAAACTGTCTAAAATGTGGCGTAAATTTATTCGTTCTTTTTTTTTGTGAAAAAAAATATTCAAAAATGATTTAAAAACTATATGAAACTTTTCTAGAAGACTTCTAAAAATCATCACGCACAAAATGCTACATAGATATTGTCTAACGTCTATTAATTGTTTCCATTTATTGCATTAAAGTTTGAAAATTAATTAATCGGACTCTAAATTTTTTTTCGATTTTTTTAAACTTGTTCTGGACTAAAAATTTATAATGTCATTTTAATAGAAAATTGTCATTTCTACAAAAAATGAAGAATCTTTATATACTAAAAAATACGATTTTATCAAACATTTTAGATGAAACTTTTAAAAAAATTGAAAATGTCAAAAAATTAAAGTAACATTTTGTTTAAGTTTTTATGTTCTTTCTAATGACATGTTGGTTCGACAAAATTTGATGTATTATTTCTAAAATATGGTTCAAATACTGAAACTCACGGTTCTTTAGAAAAGAATTGAAATATTTAAAAAATACGATTTTTACAGAACAAAAATGATGATGATAGATGAAGGAAAAAATAACATGCTTAAATAAATGTAGAACATTTTTTTATATTAAATGTAAATACGATAAGCTGATTTCATACAGAAAATGGTTGATATATTCAAAAATGATATTTAAAACATCCTATAAATATATATTAATTTTTTGTCATTCGGGATCACTTACCTGTAAACATCTCGTTCAATTTCTTCAAAAATTTGATCATTATTATTTTCACGTGATTTTTGTACTGATTCAATATAGACATTTGGATTTAATGTTTTCTAAAATGAAAAATCATTGTTTTATTAGTATAAAATCATCGTACAAATATGATCAACAATTACCATAGAGTATTTGTGGGAAAAACATTTCAAAAAATAAAACACTATGCACAACGTTGAGCCTTATAAACTAATTATCGTTAATTAAGAATTTCTTAATTAAAGATTTTTCTACGTTTTTTGTTGCCTTTCTATTGACTGAAGTTATACACCTTTGATATCAAATGATATGAGTGCATCTATTGTCGTTAAAATCCATAGTAGAATACTATCAAGAATTATACGATCAGCGCGTTTTTTTGAGTTCGCCATCAAGCATTTTTCGAGCTAACTATATACCGGTGGATAAACCATTTCAGTATCATTAGAGTACTAATGATAAGGTAAACTCTTAGTTTACGACAGAATGATGAGTGGGCGACGGGATCGATCTTGTAATCATATTGCAGAAGACGTATTAAAAGACCACAATACAATGAAAAGAAAACTGATACAAGTCCAAAAGTGCATTGAACATGGATCTGACAGAAGCGATTTGGATGAAAATACGAAGCAACTAAGTATTGATTCGATGTTGCCGATAATCATACAAGATATTATTCCATACAATAGACCGCTAATTGTTTCTGAATAACATCCAACGTATGGACGATAACAGCATTAAAATTTGAGCTCGAGTTCTGCATTATTTTAAATAAGTGTATGTTAGGTATTCCACAAGTGAACTTTATCTATTCTTTTCTGCTTTTTTCTTGTGCTTTAGATAGCCAATATATAGGAATCTAGCAAATAAGTAGATATCTCCTTTCATACATGCATATCTTTCTGTTCTCTTTCTTCTCTATCGACGCACTGAAATAAAAAAATGTCCAGACATGGGATATCTTATGCGGAAGGAGATATCTTTTTATTTGCTAGATTCCTAATACAAAACTCATATCTTATAAGGACACGACAATAACAAAATGTATCTAGACGATCATTAATTTATTTCAAAAACTTAAGAGTAGAAGAGCTTGGTACTCTGACGCTCAATTCATTTTTAGATAGTTTTCTAATAAGGACATTGAGATCCTTTATTCCAATACCCTAGAAGTTTTTACTGAAATTACGTGATCTTCAGCACACAAAAGCACAAGAAATGGTTCTTTTTTTCTGAGAAGAAAAATAAGCCTGATATTAGCGCATCGACAATATGAGAGTGAATTAATAATCATCTTGATCAAGTGATCAATCAGTACGAATTATACATTTCGTTGAAATATAGTTACCTCGTGAATAGCACCACTGAAATTCAGCCATATTTCGGATCTCATCGAGTCTGGTAAACCATTAAAAAGTAATTCGTATATTTCATTCGTTCTGTACATGGTGGGTCCTCTACAAAACAAACATAGAAGGAAATGGTAGTCACGATGGCATTTGAACTTACTTTCCATATAGTAAAAAATGGTTGTCCCAAGCGGCTTCTTTAGTTTTCTCTAATGATCTACGTCGATCCGAATATGTTTCGCAGAACTGGGTATATAATGGATTAGATAATTCTGAAGAAGAAAACGATTTAGAAGTAATATGACATATTTTTTGTATGCTCACCAAACGGTGACTGTGTAATCGAAGGAGTGCTAAAAAACGAATGAGAACTATTCAACATCAATTGAGAGAGCAATTATACGTTTTATCTTACGGTGAAAGTGTTCCTTGTAGTTGCGATAACATATCCGATAATTTATTAATGACAATTTCACGTTCAGCAAAGTTAGAAAATAAAAAATTGCCCTAAAAAGAAAGGTAAAGTTTAAAGTTGTTATTTAAGATATCGACGAAGATATATACTCGTTCTTTCGTTAATATTATCAAAGCAGTTGAATTGTCTATATCCGAGGTAATTTGTGTAGGTTTTTCAACAACCATTACATTTCTCAACGGAATAATTACATTAACTTGATGATGAACCTAAACAATAATGAAACATATCAGATCAGTTTTTATCTCTTAGACTGTTTATTGTCTTTTTGTCCACATATACAGTATCTAACATTAAAATATCTATTCTAATCAAGAAAATTCAATTCTAGAAAATAATAAAACGTAAGATATGATATACATACTCGGCTAGCAAAACAGATAAAGTCGGATGAAATATAAATCTTTCCAGATACATTTTGTCTATTATAGGGCGTCCACAATGAACATGATGTTTCACCATCCAAACGTTCGTTTCGTGGAAGACGAAAACGACATCTACAAGATAAAGTGTTATTACTTCTTATTTAAACATAAATTAATTAGATAGAATAAAGAAAATAGCAAAATTTTATCTAGTAATTTTCACGTAAACAAAGCGCTTTATTGAATATACCAGATCTTTGCCTGATCATTTTTCATATTTTATGTGCTGCCAAATGTCTCTTTATACAAACTAAATGAATATACGTCAGTATTTCCTCACCTATACGTTTCACTTCTTGATTTTGCATCGAGATCACGTTTTAGTTGAGAAATGACTTTTGGAGCAGTTTTCCTATAATCGAGAGCATTGAAATAACTATCGGATAGAGATTGTTATTAATACGGAATTGAACATACTTTGTTACTGCTGGAAAGAAATCCTCTTCTTTAAAAGCACCTTTATCAGATAATAATCTAAAACAAACGATCAGATATAGAAATGATAACTAAATGATTAAAATACCACGTTTACTTTTTAGCAGCAAAATTTGCCAACTGTTCTAACATTTGAAATGTCTCATCAATCCGTCTAAACATAGTAAATTCATGAACATTTACTCTTGTTGAAATGCGAATAGCTTCAGACAGGTAGGCTTGAACACGTTCTAATGACTAGAAAAAATAATAAAATCTGTGAACAATAAAGTAGACATGAATCAGTCATAACGATCTTACAGTTATATCAGTAAATTTTAAAACAATAGTAAGATCTTTACCCAATAAATATGAGTAAAAACATAAATAGTTAACACTTAAATACATCCAACCTTGACGTGGTACATGACCTTTCCAATATGAACATGAGTAATCTAAACGATAAAAGCGACACTTATCTAATCATGCAAAATTTTAACAATTTATTCATATTTTACATGTAACAAGTTTCTCATCTGATGGCACTGTAAATAATTTATGAAATTTTTTAGCAGCATTCTTAAACTTTTCAGATTCAAAATCTAAAATAGAACAAATTATTAAATAGAAGATTGTAGAAGTTCATTCATTATCTATAAACCCATACCGTCAAGTTCATTGTCGTCTGATTGGGCACAAAGACTTTTTATTTTACATGTAACATAATCTGTAACATCTACACCTTTATCTATCGTACCTAAATCAACAAAATAACATGACGTAATGAATAGTGTAATTAACAAAAAATCTACCTAAAGTTGGCATCAAATTTTCTTCTATCCATTTCCAATGTTGTTCAATTTCGTGTTTCGTATCCGCTTCTGCAACAACTGAAATAGAAAAAAAAAATAGAGAAAATTTATTTTATTATTGAAACAGTAAAGTTGGTATACATACGATGATAAACTTCTGAGTCCGGACGTTGATGTAATATTCGATATCGATTAGTCTAAAATAAACACAAAATAGAATAAAATTTATTCTATCTTTTTTTTAAATTCTTACTTTTGTTTCAAATACAGAATCAATTGTAGCTACGAATAATGATGTAAATCCACTGCGTTCTTCATCTTGTCCACGACGACGTTGTAAGGCAAAATAGGGATTTGCTCGGTCTGTAGACCTTAACAAAAAACAAAAAGACAATAACTAAATATACACTCTTTAATTTAGAATAATAGATTTTATTTACCAGAATGCTGTGACTAATATTTCTGAAGGTTTCACCCACATATCATCTAGAAAAATATATAGACTGTAGTATAACCTTTACTTACTCAAATCACTTGTATGCTTTTACTCCAAATATCTGTGAGAACTTATTTACTATGATGTATCTAATGTCTAGTACGAATATGTATGCTCTTTTGTATCTAAGAAGTATAACATCTCATATGCATCTGTAAACCATGTACGTTTGTGCATATTTCACCTTTTACTTCTAGATTAATCATGTTGAATTCTACGATCCAAATTTTTCTCGTTTAAGACAAGACTGACTAACATTATCGTAGAAGAGTATCTAAACGTACGCCCCCCCCCCCATCCACCCCCCAGAATAGAAGGCCACGGCCTTCTATTATGATTTCGCACACCGCACTTTTTTGGTGAAAAACTGTCCTACTTTTTCAAAAATTTTCGCTTCAGACATAATCGAGAGATTTTTTCCTATTGCAGTATAAATAAAAATTTTACAAATATATGAAAAAGAAATATATTTAAGAAAACAAGTTAAGTTAATGGAATATAATTGTCTAAATTTTCTTCATCATCATCTTCTTCTGACGATAAACCATTAATTTCTTCTTTATCATTGGATATATTTTTCCAAAATGACATAACAACCTTAAAATAAAAGAGATAAATTCTCTATTATGTTTAAGATCAAATTTTACTGTAGTATTTATACTTTTTCTGCAAATTTTTTTCGTTCATCTCCCGTCATAATATTAGCTTGATCTATAAACAAAGAAACATGCTAAAAATTGTGTAGTACAGTTACTGCACACTTTTACCTTTATACCGTCGCATTTTGTCAAATATAATGTCCATATCAAAATCATCATTCACTTCTTCTCCATCGTCGTCGTCGGCTTTCGGTTTCTCTTAAAAAAAATTGCAAGTTTTTTAATGATATTTTTTTCAACTATATTTAGAAATATTTATCTTGCCAAAAAGCGATCTATTACAGCTTATGTTCTCTCAACCATCTATTATAGTTAAGAAAGACAACATAACTGGTATATCTCTTCGAATTTCAACTATTCAGTATTATGACGGCACATTTGGATGGAGGAGTCTTCTGTCGTTTCCTCGTCATCACGCAACAAGGCTTTAAAAAATATAAAGATAATGTATGAAACCTCACGATATTGAAACAGTGAGTATCACAACTTTAATCTATTTGAATAAAACTACTAAATCGCTTTAGTTTAGGTAAAAAGGAATGTGTACTCTCCAATAAGAAACCATCAGTATAACTGAAAATTCTCAATGAAAATTTATCTTAAAATTCAAAAATAACACTCAAACTACATAATATCGTGTAAATAGTCTATAGTATGATGCGCTCAGAACGAAAAAAGAGAAAGAATCTTTGTAATCAAATTTTTTTTTTCTAAAATTGTTGATGATGATGTGATCATTCTGTTGTTCTTTTTTTTTCATTATAATGAATTCTATTGAAAAAGTTGATGAGTGTTGTACATCTAAAATTGATTGCGTTTAAAAAACTGAAGATAATGGTTTTTTCTTTTCTTTTTCTACCACAAAACAGTAAACGTTCTTCTTTCAATATGAAACACGTAACAAAAGATGATCTTCTGTTACAAAAGTTTCAATTTGAAAAAATTGGCCGCAAAATACATTCTTTGTACATTCTTTTTTTCTTTTTTTTTGCTGTTAACCGTGAAACCAATGACGTGTGCGTAAACAAGTGTTGGTTATTTGGTCAAGTAACAGAACACAAAATGAAACTATCTGTTTGGTGTTCTTGGTCAATGTGATGAAGTAAGATGCTTTTTCTTTTACCATGACTACTATCAGCTTGTTGGACAGTTTGACTAATATTTTTGGAAGACAATGGAAAGTCATTTGATTCTAATACAGTGGCCGAAATCGTCTGTTCTTCTTGTGGTAATGATGATGATGATACGTCTATTTCAAGTTTTTCTCGTAGATGTTTCGCCAAATCACGATTTATTTTTGTTCGATCTAAAAGAAAGAATACACAAAAGATAAAATTTTAGAAATAGTAAATCTATTGTATAGGTAAGAAATCTAGAATGTGGATATACAAAAAATAGAGAAGAGATGAGCATTCGATCAGTAGTGTCACCCATAGTGGTATACATATAGAATTAAAGAATGTTATTTTGTATTTAAAAAATGTTCATTTTTTTTCTTTTGTTTCAGTTAATATCTGCTAGAATGGTCAGATATACGTACTATTTTAATACACATGGCATTTAATGACACTATTATAGCAGCCTATGCATCAGCATCCAATCTATCATTATTTCCATATTCAGATAATTTACCAATTGTAATCGAATCATCAGGATCAGGTGAAACATTATTAACAACCGCCTCTTCAACATTAATCACATTAATACAAACTACAAAAAATTTAACATTACCATCGACTCATCTTATTCAAACAACATCGTATCCATTTGTAGCTAATTCGTCGTCTCTATTATCTACAATATTTTCATCATTACCATTGACATCTATTGTCTCTCCTACATCTCTTTCTACTAATCAGTCAACAACATCAACGACAACTTTTACTCGATCTACTGCATCAGCGACTGTATCCTATTTACCGGTTGTAGTTGCAACATCATCAACAACTCTCTCCCATCGTTATAAGACCATAACATCATCATCATCTACTTACATACCGACAGAAAACGATTATTTTTTATTTAAAACAAAATTTCATCGTATTATACGCATTGTTGAATTATTCATTCTCAGTTTAACATTACCACTGTATGCAATTGTTTTAATATTATTTATTGAAATAAATATTCAACATCATCGTCGTAAACGAATGAGAAGTCTTATATGGACAAGTAATTATTTATTAGTCGATTTTATCGGTTTACTTTATGAAATAATATACGTTATTATCCATTTAACAGGTGATCTGAAAATTAGAAGTACATTTGGACTTATTTATTGTCAATTTCAATTGTATATTCCACTTTATTTAACAGCAACAATGGCGTATAGTCTTATGGCTATATCAATCTATCGTAGAAGACATTTCATACGATTAGACGTACAAACAAGACATTCAAAACGAATTAGTTTAATTATGATTGGTTGTCTATGGTTAATGCCGTTAATAACATCAATTGTACCAGCCTCGATGCTAACACGATTTAATATCATGAAAATGTTTTATCATGAGCATACAAATGAATGTCAAATTAATTATAGTTATAGTTCAGGTGTCGAAGCTGCATACATGTTCTATAGACTAGGTAATTCAGATCGAATTACAATTATTTTTTATCACAGCAAAAAAATTGATTTGTAAATTTTATAGATACCCTACTTGGGTTTAAGTACAGCACTTGCATAATCAAGCTGGTACTTGCTTTTTTTCCAGAACTAAATTTACTTGTAGCTACTTGTTTCAATTAGAAGTATTTAATTTTTTGTTTAACAAGTGTGTGTCAGGTAAAATTAAAAGTATTTGTATTAAGGAGAGAATGTTTCGAGATGTCATCCTCCGTTTTCAGTGATACTATTTCGGTTGATAGTGGATAGTGTCCTGGTAAAAACCCTAAAAAAATTTATCTTCATAGAGCTTCTTTCAAAAGTTATAATTTATTTTTGCTTGCTTATATAAGAAAAGATAGAAACACTAAAAGTTTAGTATCTCGGTAAAAACATCGAGTAAAGGAGCTCAGATTTTTTTCATAACGCTGTTTCTGTTCTCTTAATATCACAACAACTTTCAGGCTTTCAACCTGCCTACACACTGAGTTATTAGGATTTTTCCTTGGTTAAGGAAACTTGTTTAATCTAGTTTTTCTGTTTATACATTTATTAGTGTGCCATACTGTGTGAGAACTGGAAAATAAAGGAAAAATCCTAATAACTTAGTGTATAGACAAGTTGAAAGCCTGAAAGTTGTTGTGATATTAAGAGAACAGAAACAGCGTTATGAAAAAAATCTGAGCTCCTTTACTCGATGTTTTTACCGAGATACTAAACTTTTAGTGTTTCTATCTTTTCTTATATAAGCAAGCAAAAATAAATTATAACTTTTGAAAGAAGCTCTATGAAGATAAATTTTTTTAGGGTTTTTACCAGGACACTATCCACTATCAACCGAAATAGTATCACTGAAAACGGAGGATGACACCTCTGAAAGTTCCATCGGAAGAAGTTTGTAGCAATATAATTAAGTACTGTATTTTGAGAGAAATACTTGTGAAAGCATATAGCAAGTACTTTTAAGAATACTTGTCATTTTTTTTTGGGTGCTTAGCAAGGAATCAAGTACATTCACTAGGATGATAATTCATCGATTCAAACTTATAGTGATGTAACAGACAAATATCATAAACTCGTAGCTATCGTTATAATCATAGTTATCGCCTATAGCGTATAGATTCAAGCGAAAAAAATGTATTCGTAAGGAAAATATCAGCAAATTAAGATACCAGATGAACTGGAAGAAAACAATCTAGAATATATGGAAACGAGGAGGGTGTGCATATTCCGATTACTTTTAATCAGATAAAAACTGATATTTTAGAAATAACTGACAAAACAATTCTTTGTTTTATTTCATAAAGAATGGTATGAAATCTGAGTACCGTTCTAGACTACAGATACATAACATATATAGATCTTCTAATTCATATCATTATCTCTTTCCTTTTTAGGTCATATTTTTTTGTTACCATTAAGCGTTTCGTTCGTCTGTTATATGACAATATTTTTAAATTTAATTCACATGCAAAAACGTTTTGATCGTGAATTTAAACGTCATGTTCATATTCGAAAAAATCTCATATTACAAATTCTATTTTTATTTTTAAATTTTGCTGTATTTTGGTTACCAGCTGAAATAATTACAATTATGTCAAAAAATCGCTTATTAAAAGATACTGTACAAGTGACAAAAAGTTTAAATATTTTATTAGATCCAATTATTATTACCGGATTTGATACAAGATTTTCAAATGCTGCTAAACAATTACTAAAAAAATGGCGATTATATCAATTATTGTGTACACGACGTTCATTGAGTGAAACAAGTGTTCAAGGTACAATAACATCGACTCGTGGTATTGGTGGTAATTTTTATCGAACAAGTGCGACAAGAAGACGAATGGCTACAGTTGATACGGATACTATAGAATTTAAAAAAACAAATAGTTTATTTCGAAAAACAACATTAGACAGAAATAAACTAAAACCCAATCCGTCAATACTAGAAGAAAATACCTGGAGTCAAGATCAATGGAATCATGTTCCACTTGTTACTTCACCATCAACACATTACCGATCAAATTCAATGACAACAAAAGATGGTCAACAAAAACAACGAAATCGTATTAAAACAACTGTTCAACATCATCAACGTCCACGTTCATATTATCAACAAAATTTTTCATCTAAATCTCTTGATAATCGTAAACGAACGATGCCAGTACGATCTCAAACAATCGTCGCAAATTCATCTTCACGTGGTCGCGCAGTTAAATCTGATTTAGATTTAGATCAAAATAAAAATTAAAAACAATTATTCGTAAACTTATAAGACAATATTATCGATCATGTTAGCACATCGTAATGCTAATCTGTTGTAGATCGATATTAAGTAATGAAGTCGAAATATATTTTTATTTCTGTGTTGGATTAAATGTTGTGTGTGTGTGTATGTGTGTTTTTTGTAATAAAATTTTGAATATAACAATCAAAGATAACGGGAGACCAAAAGGTGTCAAACTCATTTATGTATAAAGTATTTCAAGTAGTTCTCAAAACTTAATCATAGTTAGTTGATATATACTGCATTGATAGTCAATTTAAAACCTGTCAATCTCTCTCTCTATGCGACAAGATCTAAGATATTTAGATTCTAAATAATTAACCTTTCATAACCATATCTGGCCAAGAATGAAGTTGTAATGTTTGAATAATTCTTTGTGTTCCGTACACGTCCTTGATCGATCGATCTAAAGCAAAAAAAATCAAATTCATAAAATACGATTTTTTTTTGTCACTGATACGTAAAAACGAAATGTGACACTTATTTATTCTTGCCTATTTTGATAAATAAGAAAAAGCTATCTGCTTACCATCCATTTCTTCTTCACTGTCTTCATCCGTTTCATTTTTCTTTTCTAATTCCAATAATTCAAAATTATGTTCATCACACCATTTTTGTGCATCAGATCGATTAATTTCTACAAGAACTAGAGGATCATAAGTAAATAAGGAAAAAATTATCATTTTTAATTTACCAGAAAACGAGTCTATATTTTGACATACCAAACATTTAGTCTCACAATCAATAACACTCAAAAATGGTAGCCAACTGTCGGCTTTTGCTAATGTATTCAGCTGAAAAAGAAAAAATCTAATTATTCAAAGTATTTTGAAGATCAAAAGAGAATACTGATCGACAACAATTGTTTCCAATTAAATAAAAGTTGTTTTGAGGGTTATTGTGAAAGCTACTTACATTATTTGGATCTAAGAGTAATAAAATAACTTCTGTGGCATCTGCTATATCTTGTTCAACAAGTAATTTTTGTTTAACTACACAAAATTGAACATCACATGTGTAATACTTTGTATCAATAACCCAATCATGGAATGTTAAATTTTCATTACTTTCACTAGTTTTAACTGGTAGATCGACAACTGGATTACTAATTATACCTAAAACACAAAAAGACAAAACTATAAATGAGTGGAGGAACAAAAGCAAGAGTAGAATGAGATCAAGTCATCTGGCTTAGGACGTTAACAATGAAATACAATAGACAACTGCCATACACTATCCTTCAGATTGGAATTTCATTGAAATCTTTATTTGTTTTGAAAAGTTTAAGTTTCTCAACAGTTTGAGCGTGGTTCAGATCATATTTCATTGGGATCTAACTAACAATAATCTTAGTCTATAATGTGAACGAAGGCCGATATTTCGTTTCCCTTCTTTTACCTTGTAAAACTTCGTCAATCAAAGTTTGATCTAGTCCCATTGTAAGGATGCATGGTTTCATCTTTATCAATGAGTAAAATTATCATAAGCTGTATGTTAAACGATAACAGACAAACAAACGACGACGAGACGACAAGAATCCCAAGATGAGAAGATCGTGACTCACTATTTTCCTCAGAGCGATAGCGATTGGCCGATTACTTCACAATTCATAACAGTTTTATCTAGAGGTAAACGTAACCGATTCGTGGCTGTATTCATATGTTTTTGTCAGTCAATCAAAATCACAAGGAATAGAAAAAGAGTTGCTGCCTTGTTTTTATGAGGAACGTTGATGCTATTCATTGTCATTGTAACTTATAACTCATCTTAACGGTAAAGAAAAGCATATGTGATCATCGTATCGAAGTTCATTCTCTAAGACGGCGCTGATGTCACGGTAAAAAGAAAAAGTGTGACAATTTTATGATCGATTTTTTATTGGTCAAGTATTCTTGGCCAAAAGTGCTTAAGTTCATGTTTATTCACATGTAGGTGAGTGAGAGAATACCAAAACTCTACAATCAACAACGTGATGATTCTCGTCAGACATCTAAGAAGATATTAAAAAACGTATAGAAACAAGGTATGGACTAAAAATAAATAAATAAATAAAAGAAACAAGATAGAGTATGTATATTTAAAAAATTTGAAAGTATGTTTTAAAGACAAAAAAGAAGAAATGATCAATTTTGGAACGTTGTTCTAGTCGATGATAGTATATGAGAAAAAAGAAGAATACACTGTTTGAGGTAGAAACTGTTAGTTAGAGAAGAAATTACGAGCATATTTGGAATGATGACAATGTTAATACAAATAGTAAGGATAATGAATAGAATAGAATATAGAAAGAGGAGTTGATGATAAATTTTAGAGAACTGAACGAATCTGAAAAACTTGCGACAAAGACAAGATTAGAAAGAGATAGTGTAACAATAATATAAGAACTAGAAATATGATAGTTAAATTTAGGCAATATAACAGAAGTAGCACATTTGTTTATAAAAATCAAGAACAGAAAGGGAAAAAGAACAGAACTATCATGAAGTACATAGTAATAGTCAAATCTCAAAAGAATAGAACAAAGGTAAAGTCGAATTCAAACTGCTGATGGAGCTATTTCAAAGACACGATTCACTGCTCCCAACTTACATAAGTAAGAGCATTGTCTCTGTCCCATCTTATATCGTGCGAAACAAGTACACCATTATCACGAAGGAAAGTGACAATAGACAGCAGGTCATTATTCAGATACAGTTTTTTATAAACAGACGGAAATAAATTAAAAGAAGAGGGAGCTAAGAACATCAGATACATAAAAAAAAATGAAATTAGAAGATAATCATCTTGAAACGGAGTTTACATATTTTTGAACATGAAAAAAATCAGAATAGGAGCGAGGTACAATTAGGAAAACATCGTCAGCAGAAGAAAAAAAAGAAATTGCACATTTAGAAAAACTGTATAATGCTGTTCGTACATTCAGAGAGCCATTACGAACCGATCGAGAATTCCTACGGGAATCGTCACAAGTTTAACATTAGTTATTCATGAAACGTATCCCACTCAATTTTTTATCACGAAAAACCTAGCGTAAACACAGCGTAAATTTCATCTTCATATGATGCACAAAGTTTTTAAGATTGATATACAGGAAAAATGAGCTGTATGAAAAATATACATCTTTTCGGTAGATTGGATCTTATGCATTCAAAGAGCATGGATTTTACACAAAATTTGTATGTTTATAGCCTTGTTGATTCTTCACGATATTTTACATAAAAAAAATCTAAAGAAGTATACCATATTATATTGTTTAGGGGACACAATACACCTATGTTTTATTCAACCATTCAACAGTTGCTGTTGGGTCAACAGTTACTGTTGACCTTATTCACAGATCAATATCATAGTGATGGAAAATAAGTTGTAGCCAGTATTAAGTGTTCAATTAAATAAAGTAAATCTAAAAAATGGATTGATAAATATCCAACGGTTCATATTGCATTTTTTTTAATAAAGTATAATTTATTGACTGAAAAAATAGTTTATTTAGATAATTGTCATTATTTTAGATTTATACAAAAAATCAATAGAACGAATTTGTATTTGTTTAATAGATGAAATATATGAAGTACAATTTTATCAGAAATTATGTCAAATTTGTGATGTAAACTAAAGCAATCAATCTGAAACGTAGTGGCGTGGCGAGAGAAAAAAAGCAGGAGGGATATAAATTTATTTGAGAGAAAACCATAGAACACAACATCATTTATCATCATAATTTCAACACAATAACTAAATGATAATGTTAATATTAAATTGAGCTTTTTTTCTCATTGAGGAAAAGTGGGAGACAAATTTTGCTCTCAACTGTTTTAGGAGACAAAGTGGAGAAAAGCATGTTTTTGTTAAATTTTGATTAGTTTGTTACCAAATCTGGGCAAGAGCTCGGACGAGATTCTTGGGAGAAAACAGGTTGTTAAAGAGAAGATTTTTTTCCAAAAGCAGGAGGGGCGTACACCCCCTTATACACACACTTTGGCCACGGTACTGTAAGCAATGTGTCAGAAAGTCAAAACTTTAGCTAAGAACTACTTTGAGGGAATGAACAGATTGAGAGGATTTTAAATGTTGATAATAGTTTGCTTTACTGGAAGTAAAGCAGTTCCCTATTGAGTGTTCACCTAACAGTTGACTTGAAAGACGTTCTATAATCAATTTTTCCAATTTAAGAAGAGTCTAATAGTTATTTCCATCACTTTCCAAAACTATTTATTTTTCTCTCTTAGGATATTCTCCACATATAGATTAAAAGACACTTTGTTTTGGTCATTCGGCAACGAGTTCTAAAAAATATATTTCTTTCTTTTGAGAATTCTATTTTTAATAATTTATTCCATGTCTTTTTGTACAGATACAGATTTTTGAATACGCAATGTTAGGTTTAGTGAGGTTCAATGTTATGTGCATGAGGTATTATGTGAGGTATACGGACCCAACATTTTCCGTATGTTTGGTACCTATATATATAAAATATATACTATTCAAACAGGCGAATAAGACGGTTGAAGGATTATATAGACGTTAAATATCGTGGAATATGAACATTTAATTCGAGAAAGATTTGTCAAAAAATTCCCTTTGTTCTTGATGCTATTTTCACGTTCTTTTTTCTTTCATCATCTTTGGCTAAATGCAAAAAAAATTTACGATCTGAAGAAATAAAATCTCTCTAGATTAGTAACATGAAAGAGTCTAATCTTTTTAAACAAATACTAATGTAACTCTATTGCAAAGCAGCGATAAAAGCTCGATGTGTGTTATTTGTTTCTAGTTCAGTTTTTCAGTTAGCCCACTTTAGTTAGTTTTTCTTAATCATCTAAATGCAGTGAATGGTAAAAGACCAGTTCAATATGCACACCAAAGTTCGTTTACATCAATATAAAACGACTTCATCAGAGGAATCGCCAAAGAGAAAAATGAACTTGCCAAAACCTGCAGAATTCTAATATCATTCACTACAATACTGTTCAAATGGCAAAATAATCCTTCGTAAATTAGCGACAGTTATTTTATTATTTAGGACAATTTAAAAGCTCTCGATTAAAATTATTAATTATCTTCAGGTGAAGAAAACGAAAACACAAACGGATGTTGACACAACAGAAAGATTTCTGGGTCCATCCGGTATGTAGGAAATCTGATAAACATCGGCGCTTAATGAGATCTTACGTGTTTTATTTGCTTCTATAAACTGCGAGTCGTATACTTACGCTGTCAATCTAGAAATTAATGAATGAGTACAAGTCTGCCATACGAAAAATATACTGATGGCTAGGGATGCGATCCTGATTGATTCCGCGTTAAGTGTACAAAAGAGATTGGAAACCCAGCTAGAGCAACTGTATCTTAGATCAATTTTCTCTACTTTTAAGTTCTGGCAAACCTGTGATTTCAGTGCACCGGCGACGATATCGTCTAGAACGTTTTAAAAAAAAGGAAGACACATTGAGGAACAACTTAAACTCGAAATTAAATAGGAGTTCGAAGATACTTGACAAGTCATTGTGTTTTCTACGCTGTTAAAGTTTACGATCGATCACCTCCTCATCGATCATAACAATACCACTCATAACACTAAAAGTGTAGCAATGCCACGCTTTCCTACCAGACATCAGTCTTAGAAAGTGTGTCATCATAACACTAAAAGAGTTTATTTATTTATTTAACGCGGAACCGCTTACGCTCATAGCGTCTGGGTACGAATGTAGTAATGCCACACTTTTATACAGGGAAAACGTCTGACATCCTCCAAGTTTTATCCAACCAATACAAAAGCGATGTCACAGTTTAAGTATTACTTTTGGTATCTCGAGTATGTCATTGTCACAGTAAAAGTGTATGATCATCGTCTTATTGGTAGTTGTATTCTGGACGATAATGGCACATTTTTACCGTGACTTTCTGATAGTTTTGCCGTTATTTTTTTACAGTATGGTAGCTATCTTCTGTTGCTAGGAGACAGTGACAGCCATTCTATTTGGTCTAGTTGCACCAATAATAAACAGTTTTCGAACCCATGACTGAGATGACGCCTTCAAAGTGTATAAGTAACTATCGTAGCTAGAACGAAAAAAATATGAAAGTCTAGTTAAAGTTAATCAGAAACAATTAAGTATACGGAAACCCAAAAATATGGCAAATCTCATAAATTTAGTGCTGTTGATAGTGTAGAATCCAAACTATGGATTATCACATCTAGTTCATAGTACTTAACTATTAGAAATACTACATCACCTTTTTTTCTAGTAACAAAATGATAACATAACATAAGAAATAAGATTGAAGTGTAATCCGAACTTACGAAAAAAAAAGCATTGAAGAAGTACATCCTTGGGTTATGATGGGTGTTGATTATTTTCTATAACGAATACGTTCTACTTTTTGTTTAATCATGCGCAGGTTGTTTTTGTCTTATACTCTCTCGATTGTTCTCTCCAGTCCGATTGACTTTTTGAT